AGACTGAGCATGAACTGCTAAAATATTCATAGAAGCAAGCCGTACAATAATATTAAGAAATCGTTTCACCGCATCATCATGACCATATTGGTAGAGAAGGTATTTCCAGGTTACTTCTGCATACTTGTTTTGAATCTCTAAAATATTCATAGGATTTGTTACGTTGTTGAAAGCATTTGAATAATAACAGCAAGTATTTTCAGAAAAAGCAAACAATGATATTGATAACTTGAGCAATATAATATTTGGATCAATGAATTTCCTTGTTCGACAAGTAAGATCTAGTGTACATCTTTCATACTTTATATTCATCGTTTTCAAGTAAATATTGAGACTATATAAATTACAATGTTGCATAACGAATACGCTACTCATGCAGGATACATTGTCAGAAACACTACGAAGAATTATGGAGCGATCATTTGATGATGAATGACGAAAATCATCATTCAAATGAAGATATGCCGCCGGTGTTTTATCAATAGATACTAAGAATTGTTCTACAAGTGCTGCACATATCAGATAACTGAGTTGTAAAGTATATTTGAGAAAAGTGCCCATTGACTAGTAGTTAATAATGATTGATCTGATTGTAAAAGATTTAATGTTGGGATCTAATACATAAGTAACACAAAACAAATTTTTATACTACTAGTAACGGGTAAAGGAATCGAGACTTGATTTTACTTTTTTTGTCAATTTTCTAAAATGGTTGGCTAGAGTTCCTCGAGTTTGCTATAGTGGTGTCGTTTTTAACATTTATACATCGCTTGTTATGTAAAAAGTTTCAGAAATATTATAACATTGAAAATAGTCTAACAGTAATATTACGGTTTGAAATACGGATAGAGTACTATCATAGTCTTATACTTAGGAGTGTTTTTGCCTTTTCGAAATATCTTATTCGCAACTCTCGAGAGGAATTCCTGTATAGAAAACAATTTAAAACGAACGAAGAAAAAAAAATGGCTGAACAATCAATCTTATCATAAGCAGAACTACAGACAAGTCTTGTAGGACTTAAAGAGAGCGTCTTCTAAAGACGTCAACTCTTCATAGACACGTATTTATAAGGTTTATTTTTCATAGTTATAACCTTCATATGTATGAAACGACCTAAAAATGGAATTATGAATTTTTTCATGTGCCAACAATTCAAAATTGAAGAAAAATTTTTTCTGGTATTTTTTTATCATTGTTTGATAGAACTCGTTATGTTACATGTAGAATACCTGTTTATGATATATTCAAACAATATTTTTATGGTGAGACTACGAAATATCAGATTTGAAAAACACAGAAAAACCTATAAAGATCGAAATACATCAAATGCATCAAGTCTCAATAATTTGATTATTTATTCGAATTTTTTTTCATTTTAATCATCATATAGTTGTAAAAACATCTATGCATTCTATGTAGCAAAAAGATTTATAGAAACTAGATTCATATTCTGAGTATTTCACGATAAGAATTTCAGTTTTGGAAGAAACAAATATCATATTCAGAGTTAGAACAAAAATCTATATCGAACATCGTTTGAATATATCAAAAACAGCGTTTCTATACACAACCCAACAAGTTCTATCCAGCCATAATAAAAAAAAACGTTCTGCTCAAATTTCGACTTGCCGATACCGTAAAAAATTCATATTTTCATTTTTAGATCTAGTAGAGCACTTTTGAAAAAAGTTTTATTTGTCAACAAAGAAAGAACATAGTCCTAAATCTATACATTTTGTTTTTGACAGATATCTACTGGTTCTAAATAAGTAAAAATAACCGTTTAAATATATGACTATGGGAACATTGATGCTTTAGCAAAAACAAGTACTCGTTGAAACCGATGAGACCTCTCTATAGTTCTACTCATCACAGTGTTAATTGTTCAGCCATTTTATCTTCTTCTTTAGTTTTAAATTTTTTTGTTTGTTTGCAACAATCCTTCTCGAACGTTTCGAATAAAATACTTCGAGAAGACAAAAACATTGCTAGATGTAAGAATATCACAGTATTCTACCCGTATTCTAAACATTAATATTAATGTTAAGCTATAGTGAGTGTAATTGTCTTTCTGAAATCTTTCATATAAAAATCGGTGTGAAATCATTAAAATCAACATTGTTGTAGGTTACTCGACGAGCTCTAACCAACCATGCTAAAAAATTGGTTCAAAGTTCGATTTGCTGGTATCTTACAACAATTACTACTAACACATTTTATCGCCTATCAGATTGGCATTGAAGAAATGAAAATAAATTTCTGCTTTAGTAATATTATTTCTATCAATTTGATTTAATAATCTCGCCCTCTCTGGTTGTTATTATACTTGTATCTTAACTAACGTTTTTAATTTTGGTTTAGTCTGTCTTGATCCTTGAAATTTGTCAGTGGTCACTCCACATTTAAAACATTTAGCAAGTCGATATGATATACACATATGACAATTATTTACATTTATTTCATATTTGATCATCAAAATTACGTACGAATGCTGTCGAAATGGATTAATATGAAAATTAAATGAGAAGAGAGAAGATCAATCAGATTTGTCCAACACTAGCACTTTGTTTAAAGAACATTTTGCATGGAATACATGAAATAACACCAAAATAAGCATATTCAGCAAGAACACCACATATTCGTCATTCATTGGAGAGTATTTTGAATTTTTTTAGTTTTGATCGACATAGACGGATTATTTGTATTATTCGACGTTAACCTTCTAAAAAAACAACATTCATCTTAAATTAGACTTAACTTATGAAAAAAATGATTAATAATGCGAACAGAAAAAAAAACATGCCCGGATCTATATATAAAGAAAAGGTTATTTTCCATTACAGTGCATTTTTTTCTTCTGTGTAGAACGAAAAATGTCACTTTGACTCTAACCACTATAATATATGTGTTTCTAGACAAGTTGACGTTATTCTTCATAAAAAGAAGAAAATAAGGTCTGTTGTTTTAATTCTCTCACCTGTTGTTATCCGCCTCGTGTTCTATTTATGTAGAAGTTTATCATGCATAGTTATAAAATAAGTATACAATTACTATCAAAATCATAATTTTCATCAAGGATCATAGACATATTGAAAAAATAAAACATAATGAAGAAAAAAAATAGTTATGATGTTTAAAACATTTCTATTGATTCTCGCTTATTTGTTTTTTTTTTGAATTAATCAAATTATCACGGGTATTTATGATGGACTGTAGTTGAAGATAATGACAGTTAAATGTAAAATTTGTCGATCTTCAGCTAAATATTCATATTTTTGATGGTATTTCATGTCATCGATGAATAATATTTCATACAACAAAATACTGAACTAGGACAGTTGAATGAATAATATATATTTACTTATATGATCTTTAGATTTTTTCTGTCTCAGAAAATGTTGAAATTTGATTTGGATCTATTACAAACTAGATCAACAGCTTTAGTCAGATTCAATGAATCTGATTAAGTGAGACTATTTGATTATCATATTTAAGTAAATCATAACTTAGGTTGAGTGAAGTTTTAAAAATAGATAAATTATTTTTCTTAACTATTAAAAATCTTGTACAAAACAAAATCAAATACAAGCAACACGCATCGTTCGGATTCGCTGACTCTTTTATGAAAGAGTGGCATTGTATTGTGAATTAAAAACAACTCATCATGATCTCATAGTATTTTGGTCCTGAAATATTTAGAGACTTGAAAAAAACATAAAAAATGAATGCTGATAAGGCCATTTTTCATCCAGAACTTTGTACTCACCGCTTCAGGTATTAGTCGCAAAACCTTTTATCTCTGTCTAATGCAGAAGCAGGATTGCAATCTCATGAAGCTTAAGAAGCGGAAAGTTCGTCTAAAAAACACGGAAAATAGGCGGAAATTTGTATATGGGGTGTAGGTGTGGATAGGATGTTCCTGAAGTAAAGATCTACATCCACATCCTTCTCGTATCAACCTTGATACAATTAAATCATTCTTTGTTTTTTTTTGTTCGATAGTCTCTGAAAAACTGAAGGGATTAATATTGGAGTTTTTCGATATTTCAATTTGGAGCCTTTTTAATATGTGTCACCTTTTCATAAGTACCAAAAATCGATGCAGCAAAATTTTCGAAAATAATTCTTTCTACTTATAAGCAGCCTGCACAGGAAGCTAAGATCGATTCCTGAGATTGGAAAACCTTTAATTAAGCTTATATCAGATAAGCAGGAAAGTTAACGTTTTATCTTGAAGAACTGACTTACGTTCACATATTAGATCTTCTCGAGAGAAGTGTTTAGTTCTCCCAAAGATATACACAATTCTATACCTTTTAAACAAATCATTTTACCATCAAATTTAGATCTTAACAATTTATTAATTCAGAATTTTTTAGTAATGAAAATTGATAGATTCGATATTTGTGTTGAAGTAATTTAGATTTTTCGATTTTGATCGATGTTAATAGGTTTCATACACTACAGTATGTCGATATTCCTTCGAGAAATAAATGATGTTCGATCGACTAAGAGCAATTTTTTTTTCATCGTATAAAGAAGCAATTACGAAGCTACGTTTCTCTTTCTTGTTTTTTTGCTTCTGTGCATAATAAATATAGTCCTTTCTCTCTCTTACTATATATAACGCGCGTACTTATCGACACAACTACGTTCTTCGTCATAGAAAGACAGAGAATAAGACTGTTTCTTTTTTCTTCTCGTTTGTCTACTATCTCATCTATGTTTAACGTTTATTTAGTTTAATCATAAAGTTAAGTATAGAACTGCTACTAGAATCGTAATTTTCACTAAGGATGATACACATATTGTAAATAATGTATGATTAAGAGAAATTAATCGTCATTTTTATAATATTTTCTATTATTCCTTGTATTTTTAATTGCTAGTTGATAAAAACTCAAAGTCTTCTTTTGATAATTTCTATTGAAAGTTATAATTGTAATATTGTTCATTTATTTTTTTAGATTTAATCAAATAAAAAACATGTGTTAATCATGAAAAAATCATGTTCGAACATATCTACAAGTACAAAACGAAAGTCAAAACTAGTTACAACCGAATGTAAAATTTGTGGAGGTTCAGCTATATATTCGCATTATGGTGTTATATCATGTCGTCCATGTAGAATGTTTTTCAAACGAAATGCTCAACAAGGAAAGGTTAATTGAAAAATATTCATTTTATTTAAATAATATTGAATTTTTTAAGAAAGTATTAAAATGTGATTTTCATGGTAATTGTAAAATAAATGTAAATAATCGTCATATATGTTCTTATTGTCGACTTCTTAAATGTTTTACAAATGGAATGAAAACTGAAATGATTCGATCATGTCAAACAAAAATGTACAAAACAAATAAAAAAAGAAAAACAATGCTAAATCAACTAGAAACAGCATCAACAACTTTAGTTACATTAAATCAATTTGAACAGGTCACATTATTTGATTATCATATTTAATTATGACATGCTTGTTAGTATGATGAAATTCTTTATTATCCTTTTCAATCGTTAATCGCCTTGTAGAAAATTAAAAAAGAAAAAAGGAAAACTCTATAAAGAATATTTGGAGAATGGAAGCAGATAGAGATCTGTGATTTTCACCATTGAAAAGAGTGATGTTGAAGGCATCGAGCTGTATAAGTTTTTTTTAAGATTCGGAGAGTTCTTTCATAGGTGCTTTTAGACTGACATTGTTTTTCATCACTTTTCAGAAGAATTTCAACTTAAATTATGTAGAAGAGTAGCTGCAATCACCTTGTGTTCGTATTGAAATTTTCACAATATTTTATTATCTTGTCAACTTTTTTCTTCAATGAAGTTTTTTAAAAAGAACGTGCTAATTTTTATATAATTTGAATTGAAATGCTTCTAGAAAGTGATAAAAAAAAAGACAACGAAAAAGTATTAGTTCAAAAGCATCCATGAAAGATCTCTCCGAGCCTAGTGAATCTTATACAGATCGATGCTCATGACATCGCTTTTTCCAACCCAAGCAGACAATAAAATGCATGCAATGGGCTCGACGACTGCGCGAAAATGTAGAATATATTTTTTTTTCGTTTTGTTACTATTTTCGAGTTCTCGATAGCTGTCGAATGTGGAGTACTCGAATACTGTCCTATTGAAGACCTAGGTTCGATTTCTCGACAACTTTTCAATCCATCGATACTTATCGAAATTCCAAGTACTCGAGCAAAACAAATACAATCTGAAGAGCTTAAGATGATTTTGAGTTCGTAAAATTTATTTAAAACGAGCCTCATAAATGTTATATTCGTTAGGTTATATTAAATGTAAACTATATTGCATGGATTTTTTGCTAACCGTTGTAATTTTCTAGAAAAATTTGAATAAAAAAAAAGATGAAAAGTCAAATGAGTAAAATCATAAAGAATATTTCTACCAGTCTTAGAAACAAATACTTATTTTTTTTATCTTGATCGATTACTTTTCTTGGTGTTTTTTTTTCAAAAAAATCCGTTGGTGAATTTTCAATTTCTGAATCCTAACAAAGACGGTTAATTTAGTTTTAGAAAAAATTATCGTATCAAAAAAAACACGAATTTCAAAAATTTAAATCCATAATAAATTGATTAAAACTGATTGTTCAATTTAAAAAAAAATACTAAATTTCTGAAATTTGACTTCTAAATTATTTTAAAGGAAAATAACATCCCTACGGATTTTTCTGTTAAGAATTCAAAAAAACTTATAAGATAATTTTAGAAAAAGAAAAACAATTCATATTTAGTTTAGATGTTCGACGACTTGTCACCGTAAGTACCCGTGTTATAATCGGGCTCTTTGCACTTTTCAATAGTTGTCGATCAGTCGAAACTGAGATATCTATCAAAAAAACTTTTTTATTTTCAACTCTCGATTGAAATCATTCGAGTAATCGAAGAAGCATTGATTTCTTGACCCATCGACGAGCCCTCGATCTCTCGATTTGAAATTTCGTTCGACACGATACCCTCAAATCGAGTGGTCGAAATGTCTATCGAATGACCACTTCGGAATGGTGAAAACCACAGATCTCTATCTGCTTCCATTTTCAAAATATTCGTTCTAGGGTTTTCCTTTTTGTATTTCTAGCATTGACAGTAGTTAATTTCAATTAATATACTTCATAGGATTGGTTTTTTTTTCAAGAATTATCGAAAAATTTTTAAGATGAAATTAATTATCATAGAATGTTAATCTTTAGTTTGAAATTCCACTAGATATCGTTCTTAGTTCGATATGACTCAAATTATCCATGATTATATATAAAATATAGTTGAATTATGTATCTAAATAAAGTTAGAATAGAATAATTTTTTTTTGAAGTTTTCGAAATGTTTTATCTTTTTCGAATATTTTTTTGCTTTTTTATTTAATATTTAGTTTCCAACATTGAATCTTTTACAATCAGATCATTCAACATTAAATGCTGATCAATGGAGTGTTATTTCAAATTTATCACATTGTTATGATGAATATGGTGGATTATCAAGAGGTGAACGTTTTATGCGTGAACAAGAACTTCTACCTCCTACAATGCGATATGAAAGTCCAGCAGTGATAGATTTAATTCAAATGATATTACATGATGGTCAATCATTATACAAAACTAATCAAGATTTTCTTTCTTTATCAGTAGATGATCGTTGTATTCTACTTGATAATACATTTGAACATACGGCAAGTCTTTCTTCAAATTTCATTTTGTATAAAATTCGATTAATGGATATTCCTATTTATTACAATATTCTTGAAAGTATTACTAATCCAGATAATTTACCTGCTGCTAGACGTATAGCAAAACGACTTAATTTTGATGTAATCATAATGAAATTGTTTCTTTCCATTCTTTGTTTTTCAACAATCGGATATACAATTTATTTAAATAGTCCTCCAATAAATTTATCAAATATCAAAGAAATTTTACGCATTCAAGATAAATATACTGAATTAACATGGAGATATTTAGTCTACAAATACAATTATGAATGGGCTATTAAATGTTTTTCTGATCTTATAAGATGTTTTTTTGCTGTTAATGAAGCTGTAGTTAAAACACATGAAATTCAATGGTTTACAAATACAATTCATTCTATTGTTGAGGATACTGAACTATCTCTTATTGTTGATGATTGAGTATTTTTTTTATTGTATCAAAAGCATGTTTCATGTTTTGTTTTCTAATAAAGAGTGAACAATTACAAGAAAAATATAGATTTTTCAAAAAAAAAAAAAACTTAAAATCTCTTACAGGTGTACATATGTAAGTCCTTTAGCAGGAACACATACACACATTCACGCTCTCATCGGATGAGACCTTGAAAAACTTTGCTTATTGAACACTATGGAAGTTTGGAAGTTTTTTCTTCAAACGAATTTAAATTCAAATGGTAAAAGTTAGAGATACGCCGTTTTTTATGCCATTTTCTGAGTGGTAATGAGCTTGTCAGTGTTTTTTACACACCTACATCTAGGACATGCCGCACATCTTTGTATAATGATCAAAAAAAAAACAAAATCTGATGAAAAGTTTGATCAAGTTTCCAGAGAAAAAAACCGTCGATCACTGAACAAAAGCAAACGAATACAAAACTAAGAACAGTTTACTTTTTCTCAGTTGTCTATGTAGAGGATGAATAAGAGTAAATCGGTTGTTATTCGATTTGAATCAGTGTGCATCTCAGCAAGTATCGTGAAGAAGAAGTATCCATAGTGTATGTGAGAATAATCAATAGAACTTCTCCTTCGACGAAAAGAATTTCCGAGTACAACATTCTCCTTATCGCGAGACTGTAAGTTTATTCACTAGAAGAAAAGTCAAAATCAAGAGAAGTACTTGTAAAAAGTTTTAACACACGTTGAAGAAATACGTGACACCTATGATGAATCAATATGATACTAAATTACGATATATTTTTGGGTGTGGGTGCGAGCGATGAGTATGAGTGTGGCTGTGTTACTTTTCTTAATCCATACCGACAGCTTACATCCACATCTCCACCACACCCAAGAGTCTGAGTTGCTCATAATTGGAAGTTGGGTCATTCTTTCAAAAACGTACCACAGTCACATTGATTTATGCAAATAGAATGAAACTACTAGAGGTTGTAGGACGTATATCTCTAAACATAGATGTAAGTTAAACAAAATTTGAAAATCTTGCGCAGATGTTCAAATGAGAAGGGGATAGGTGGGCTCTCCCAGTAAAACTGAACTTTATCTAGTGCCTCTATTTTAAATGAGAGAAAACTGAAAATTTTACCATATATATTACTCGTTGAGTTAATCATTTTTAATAATGAATCTTTTTACTTCCGTGTTCTGTTTTTGATTGGGAAAAGCAACCTCAAAGTTGTGAAAAAAGCGCATTGTTATAATTGTAAAACGATGTTGACTTTTCGAATGCATATCCTTCTTGAATTGTCATTGAAAATACTGGAATCGTAAAGATTCAAAACGATACTCCTTACAAAATGCTAATCAATATCGAGTAGAACAAAATTGAATTTGTGAGTATGGTAAGGCAAAAAAAGAATAGCAATCGAATATATTTTGTACATGCCGTTTTTCGGATGTGATGCATCAAAATAACTCAAAAACATCGACGAAATTTCACTCATAAAATGCAATTCTATTAATATAACTCATTGTACATAATAAGACAACCAAGAACTGTAATAACTCGGCACGTGTTCTACATTCGAAAGAACAACGTTTTCAAGTAATATCGACTAAAAAACGAGATAGGAAAAGGAAAAAAGCAGTATGTGTTCTTGCATCATCAACCAATAATAATGTACAAGTTACGACACATGATATTTTTCGTCATACAATGTTCTTTTGTAAAACAGATCAACTGTCTGTTGAATTATTTCACGATATTTTTGATTATCTTTCAATACATGATATTTACTATGCATTTTCTAACCTAAATGATCATTTTGATTCTGTATTAGTTGGCTATCGTCACTACTCACTCAACTTTCTTTTTGTGGCTAAATCTAAATTTGATGTCACTTGTCATGATATACGACCACATCTAGTCATCTCTCTTACACTATCAGATGGTGATAATATATCCAATCAATGCGAACTTTTTTTTCTTGTTGCAATATTGAACAATTCATTCATCTTCAATCATTCAAAATTTACATGATTAGTGATAATACGTGCAAAAAATTATCTCATTTACGTGAACTCAAGTATTTGACATCATTGGAGATACATAACTTTTCTCTGACGTGTTTTATATATTTGTGCGATCTTATGAAAAACTTCTTCGACTGAATCGGGTAGTAGTGCCCATTCCTGAACTTCTCTGTAGGATTTCATTGCCTCAACTATACCATTTGACTATTCGACAGTGCGGTTGTTGGATATTATCGATTATATTAAAACTAATTCCTAATCTTTATTCACTTGATATTATACTTTCATGTGATAGTGGTCCACAGTAGTCGGGTACAATATCATTATTATCTCATCTAAGACGACTCATACTCGAAATTCGTGGTAAGTATATTAATTTGAAAATTGTATATACGCGGTGTTACATAGCTATTACACCCCTCTCCATAGCAACTTCATTTGTAAATGATATTACAAAGTATTATATACCAAAAAAGAGCTCATTAAAAACTTGATCTATGGGTATATTAAATGGACTGTACAGCAATTGTTGACTATTAGAATTATTGAAATATCTTGTACTGAATGCCAAAATGAGGCCGTATTTGACGAGTTTCATTCGTCATGTACATGTTTTCTTAAAAATAATTGTAGATTCGTGATTTCCATCAAAAACTGGATCTAGCGACATGTCATTTGTATATTTTAAATGAAAAAAACAATTTTTTGGGTGTGGGTGTGTGCGGGTGGCTGTCGGTGTCTCAATAAGAAAAACTTCATCATTATCGACGCCCGCATCCATACCCACATCCACATCCATGATCGTTCTCTATGAAACTATGATGATGAGTTCTTAAAACATAGTAAAGACCATTGAAATGATTTGTTGTTGATTCTATTGACCGAATAATGTCATTGACTTGGATTCTAGTCAAGCGTCGAGGAAATTCGCAGGGGAAAAGATTACGATTATTTCAGTTATGTTCAGTCATATTTCTTCTTTCCTCTAAGATTTAAAACAGGTTTCACAAATTTGTCAAGCATTCATTGACAGAGCTACGGTATGGTGATAATTGACATATAGTTTTTTCTGCAGTAACTAATTCTTCTCATCAAATCGACACTTCTGCAATGTAATTAAATAGAGTTACACTCATTGAAATTTAATAGAGTTCTCTGAAAGAGTGAAAAATAAATGGATTTCATTGTTTTGCCTATATCTCTGCCATATTTTGCTCATATCATTCGAAAGAGTACATAAAAATGAACAAAAATGCTGTTCTTGACTTCTGCAAAAGATTGAGTATTGGTGCCGAAAAAAAAAAAAACTTTCTTCGACTGTAAATCGTTTGTCAGCATAATAACTAATCGAAAAACAACTTTAATCAAATGCTTCTTGTAGAGAATTTCACGCTCCAAAAAGTTACTATAAAGAATACGAGAAATAAGTTTTACACAAGGACGAAAAAGACGATAGAACGTTATTTTCTGTCAAGTTTCTGCATTATTAAACAGAACATCTAATGAAATGAACATGAGAAAATAAACAGAGATACTGAGCTATTTTGTCTTTACAGACGATTATCTTTAAATGTTGTCGAAAGATATGCACATTGTGCTAAATCAATGCATATTTATGTTTTTTTTTGAATACACATATGGAAAGCTTTTTTCATGCGGATTCTAAGAAGCTATTTGTAATTTCTTTGACATGTTATAGTTGATTAAAAATAGTGAGAGATTATTTTGGAAAACTTTGCATCATACGTTAAATCAATTGCGTATTTTCAATCATAAATTTCAACAATTTGTATACGAAAATTGTTCACAAAGAAAAAAATAAATAAATAATTGTCTTTAATATTAAGCATCAGATAAAAGCCATTCTTGATCATAATTCTATCAAATAAAATAAATAACTAGAATAATATATCATAAAAATCTTACTGGTCCATGATAAATCATATCATGTATTTGTTCTTGTAAATCATGAAGTCTTTAAAAAAAAACAAAGTTTATTTTTCATAAACCAAAAAAAAAAGAAATATGAATTATACTTTCGCTCAATATTTTGTACTGCAACTTCAATTTGATCTTTCTTTCCATGTTTCACTACATAACTCCAATAATCATCAGCTATGGCACTCTCACGTTGCATTGCATCACTAACTATCATTAACAGAAACCAAAAAGAAAATTGTTTTTTATTTATTTCAATTATATGAAACATTCTTGCTTTTAAATTCTTCGTGAACTTTTCTTTCACTTGAAGCAATTGAATCGATGGAAATTTCGCAGGCAACTATAAAATCGCGAAAATGAAAAAAAAACGCTGATGAACAAATAATATAAAAACAGAGATATTAGTACAATTCCTATGTGATGAATATATGAAATACGATTAGGAATGCACTGAGATCGACAGTCTCAGTATATCCCTAAACACTATGTATCCGTTATTAGTAATCCTCAAGAACATTGCTTTATTCTATTTGTTTTACAGTGCATTACAAAACCATCCTGTTACTTATCTATACAAAGTTGAAATTAGAAACTAATATTTATTTTCAATTAAAAGAAAGGTAAATATTTTTGGAATGATTCTTGATAAGAATTAGATAGAGATCTGTGGTTTTCATCGTTTCAAAGAGAGAATGTAACTGTATCTAATCTTAAATACTAGATTTTTTCTAACAATTTTGTTCTGTATCATCCGGTAAGTTTTTTTAAAAATCGAAACTTTTTAATAGGTTTCGAACGTTGGTTTATTATCAAAAAAGCAAAAAAAAGTCAGTATTGTATGAAAAATCTGTCAAACACACGTAGTAAGAGATCAATAACTTGTGATTTTCTAAACATTTTAATATAGGACTCACATAGATTATTGAACTTTAGTTAACGATTCTGATGCACTACTAAAAATTAAAATTCCAAAACTTTTATATTACATAAAGCTTTCTTTTTTTTTTCGAAATAATCCTATATGGTTCAACACTCCTTTTAGATCG